CTATAGTTAATTACATCTCAAATGATTGGAGTCACTTGAGAAAACTCTCGATAGTGATCAGTGATTCTAATCTTCAAGATTTCAAGGTTTAGGTTTTCACGGTAGGACGTGGAAAAACAAGTGGGAGTGGCTCAAGTAGGAACAGTTCTTTCAGGAGATCAATGGAAGTAAAGGGTAGGAGCGTCACAGATCTTGAGGAGGAACCTCAGTGACTTCCCAAACTATTCTATTGTACGACTATATTTTAGAGAAGATGTTATTTGAATGTTCAATCCTGTCAATTTTATTATTTGGGACTTACGAATGCATAATACTCGATTATGCAAATAGTCTGAAGAAATAAGAGGGTTTACGTCGTGTCACACGACAACCTCGGAACTTAAGACGGGTTAGGACTTACGTTGCACAACATGGTTGTACAGGAGCCTAAAAAAGGAGTGTGAGGATTTACATCACGCTAGGCGAGTTACCTCGAAGTCCTATGAGTTGTTATTATACTAGGAAGGGATAATGCTGAAAAAGATCCTCTTGCTGCTCGGTTTGAATTCCTCATCGTGCTGCCCACAAAGTTGGTTCCAAGCTCCTGTCATCGCGACGGCTCCATGGCTTAAGTGTTTGAGATTAGTGATTTGCATTTCACAGTTTTGGTGTCAATGTTTGGTTTTGTTTTGTTTCGATTTTGGTTTTGCATGGAGAATAAACAAATCGCAGGTAAATAAAAGGTACTTGAAATGTAAAATGCAATAAAATAAAATGCTGTAGATAAACTGTAAAAGCGTACCTGGGCATCTGCTACTGTTGCATGATTAATATTGCGAGCATAGTATGATTTGCAGCAAATCTTAATAAACTTGCAAGAAAATTAAATAAAGCAAGAAAACCCAGCATGAAAGTCATAAAAACGAGTAATAAAAATCACAAGCAAAAGAAACATATAGCCACACATGAAAGACCAGGATGAAGTATAAGACATTGGTAAAAGTGGGGGGCTCAGAGCTGGGCTGTGTGCTTCTCGACCTTGAACAGAAGTTACCGGCCCAACAATCGACATAAGGCAGTCTTTAATCTCAATCCAAGTGACTAGCCGTGAACCTTTATAAATTTTCATAGAAAGATTTTCATACAAAAGTAATTATTTAAGTCTTTTTTATACAGAGTTCTTTTAATCATGCAAAATAAATTTTTGTTTTATTTTTATAAATATTTTGTAAAGTCGTACAGTCCACAGACTAGTCCCTCTAATCGTGCCAGAACTACTGACAACCTTAGAGTGTCGGGGGCAACGATCCCACCAAGAATCAGCGAATAGCATCATAGGTCCTTCCCTCTCCTTTATTGAAGATCCTTGAGGTTGGAGATACTATTCTAATAATTTCACTTTGTATCCCTCGTTTAAGCACGCATA